TTTTTTGGGGGGGGGGGGGGGATGAATCTCACTTGGGACAACTATTAAACCACTCAATATTCTCTGAAGTCTTCTTGCACAAATTTGGGTTTGTATTTTTGTGGAAAGTACAAGAGAATTGTTCAGCCCAATTTGAGCAACTTCTTCTGGATCTTATACATGTCACACACTATATACAAAAAAAATTAAAATACAAAGATGTACCTACATATGTTATAATGCATGTGTATATTATATATATATGTGTGTGAATGTATATATTTGTGGACTTTAGTGATGGGTTCAAAGTGAAGTCGTTTTCTTTTATGACTGTGTTTCTGCATCATCTTCTTCCCCTCCTCTCTTTTATCATTGTTGCCTTGAGGGTTGTGTCAGGCATGGAAGTCGTCAGAAACCCACCAAAGAGAAAGAGACCTGAGAGAACCTCTCTTTAGTACTTAGCCACTTTTCCTCTTACGTAAATATATACCCTAATACCTTAATTAATTTGTTCATACGCATATATATATATATATATATATAACATAAACTTATATTACTTGCATCTTTCTCCATTTCAAAATTAATCAACCGACAATCATAAGATAAAGGAACAAAATGCTTGATGGTAAATAACTAACTAGAATGTGTTAATATATAGAGTATAATTGATATATTTGGACATGAAAACCTGGTGTAGGTGATCATATTACCTCATAAACTATGAGTAGCCATCACATATATAATAAGTTTTGACAATGTATTTCGTATGCATATCCTATCTTTCAAATAGCCAAATCTTTTCCATGTTAATAAAACGTCGTCTATGTTGTTCATATTTGGTCATAGCCTATCCACGATGTTTTCCTGTTATAGGGCTTGAGATCTTACAAAACCAAGTGATACTTGTGCATTTAATTAGCCTTTTATAATGATTAAACAAACTTTGGGGATCTTTCATATATATATATATATATATCATATATCATATCAGGTCAATGTGCCATATGCAAGTTTATTCACAATTGTGACGGTGAGATGTGGCCATTGCACAAATTTGCTGTCTCTCAACATGGGGGCTTCACTTCATCAAATTTCACCTCCTGTTCACCAAGATCTTCAGGTAATGTAACATTAACGTGTATACAAATGTAAAATTAAAATTTTATTAATTCATTTTGACTTTTATCTCAGTGTTTTGCCTGGTTACATCGGAAATTTTGGATTATATCCGCTTGTTATATACCATGCTCATACATATATATACACATTTTTTTTATGAATACTCTTAATCAGCATATTTTTTCTAATTGCTTTTGCACTTGATCATGAAGTTCCATAAGCAGCACATTACCATTACATCTCCAGAGCCAAGAAAGGAATGCGGATCATCTTCCAAGTCCACTATTAGCTCAACAACTTCGTCGTTTGAATCTGTAGACCGTGAAGCTCCTAGAATGCCTCCTATCCGCCGTTAGTCTCTCTCTCTCCCTCCCTCTCCCCCTCTCTCTCTCTCTCTCTCTCGTGTGAGTATGACATATGCATATTTCAGTGTGCATGCATATGCAATAGCATATCCACACTAATACTCTTAGCTTTGAATCTAAAGACAGTGTATTTTATAATAGAAATGTTCCTTTTTAAGTTATGTGTTTAAATGATCATATGCTTATATATATATAGATGGTCAACGCTTATTTAGTTACATTCTCTAACATTGTTTGTACATTCATGTGTGTATCAACTTGCAGCGCCCCCTGAGAAGAGACAACGTGTTCCCTCCGCATACAACAGGTTTATCAAGTAAGTTTGGCACTAGAACAAAAATTGAAATTTTGTGTTAAGGGTTTTTTTTTCTCTCCCTCTTTTGCTGACTTTCTGATGTTTTTATATATCATTTTATTTCTCTTTGAAAACATTTATTGAAATTCGCGTGATTCGTAGAGAGGAGATTCAGAGGATCAAAGCTAGCAACCCCGAGATCAGCCACCGCGAGGCGTTTAGCACAGCCGCCAAAAACGTAAGCACTGGTTTCTGATGTTCATCTATACAAGAATCTTCTGTCTTAGGTTGATATACATACATATATATATATATACATATACATATAACTTATAAAATTTTGCTTGAAGTTTGGATATAGTGATGCATATGGATATGAGAAATATGGGGTGAACCACTTGTTATTCTATTGACAGTCCTCTATTATGGGAAAGGATAAAAGAACAACAGAGATAAATGTAACAATTAAGATAGTGGAATCTACTATGCGCAAGTGGTGGAAACAATGTTCATATTTATTTTATTTTTGCTTATTATTATTTTCTTCTTTGTTAACATAGTGGGCACATTTTCCTCATATCCACTTTGGATTAAAGCTGGATGGCAACAAGCAAGGGAAGCAGTTAGACCAGGCAGTTGCTGGGCAAAAGCTCTAATGGCTGTCACTAAACCTTTGCATACACATATACATATACACACATATTCTCCATATGCGTGTCTATGTATATATGTGTAACTTTTTACGTATCTATCGCTTTTATGTGTGAGCAGAGCTGGTCGGAAGGATGAAGGGAGAAGATGATCAAGAAGTTGTTATATATATATATGCATATGTATGTATGTACCTATGTAACTATGTCTATTTATTACGTGGGTTTTCTTCTCTAACTCCCTTTCTAACTCTCGTAATAAGTGACGCCCATTATGAGTTATTCACATTCACATTTTGAATTTATATATAATTTTTCGGTGTAAATTGAGGTGTGTATATATATATACACAAACGCGTGTGTGTGATTTTTGCGTGGATGATAAAACGTGTCATTGTAATTGCAATTGTTATGGATGCATGAAATGAACTAAAAGTTTAGAAATTTATAGATTTTAAAAAATAAAATATCAATACAAGGAAAAACACATAAAATATTCAATTTTATAAATAACCCTAACATAAATATTGAACTTTAAAATTCTAAAGTTTTCGTGAATTATAAATTAAAAATGTACCATTGAAATATTAACAAATTCTAACAGATCTTTTAATTCCTTAATCACTTGAATATTATCGGTGTATATACACTTAAAAAATAAAAAAGTAGGTATACATAAAAAAATAAAAAAAAATTACAAAACACATACATACATATACACAACCCCAAACATATACATACATACTTATAAATTACAAAATAAGTGGTGATTTTTTTTTATTTTTTTAGTTTACATAAAAAAATTACAAAACACGCATATATATACATACACAATTTAAAACCCCAAACATGTACATATATATACACACATATGTATATACATATGTACATATATGTACACATAGTATGTATATATACGCACATAATTGTTTTCTGTAAGAACACACTCGTGTGAGATTTTTGTAACTAACTAGAGAATTTTTGAATATCTAAGTATTACCTTATTTAAAAAATATCGATCCTATAATATTATGTTTTTTATTTTCTATTTCTTATCCATATTTGAAAGTTGTAATATCTATATAAAAAATTGAAATATTTATTTTGAGACAGATTTTTTATTGTGCGTGTTTTTGTGTTTTTGGGAGTAAATATGCAACATCATCTCTTCGCTCTCTTGAATACTCATTTTTTTTTCATTATTCTTTATGTACAATATTTTCTTCTGTATCGCATGATTACTCCAAAATTTTCTTCGTCTCACTTTATTTAACGATTTAATTTTTTATTTTAAAATGAAAATATTTGAAAACATAATATCTAGATTTTATTAGATATTTCAGATTTATAATTTTATTAATATTCAAATAAGCCTAAAATTTATTAAAATAAGATCGAACGAGATATTTATTTACTATCTAAATATGAGTACAATGTCACAAAATTAAAACATATAATACTAAATCATTTATGATCAAATAAAAACTTCGTTAATTTATATTCACAGTATTTAGAAAATAAAAATAAAAAAACTAAATACAGTGAAACTATGTTTAAGGTTGAAATAGAGAATAAAGAGTGAAGGACACGTGTCAGTATCGCAATCAACCCTTCAAAATTTATACATTGGATTAATTCTAATATGTGATCATCATGCCATCATACTAAAATTTTGATTGAAGAGAAAATAAATAAATAATCTGTAACATATGATAGAGATTTCGTATATATAGGTTCTTACAAAGGGGTATATATATATATATATTGAAGCAATTTATATTCGTATATATAGGTTCGTATTTATATTCATTAAGTTTTCTTGATACAGATATATATATATATATATATGTATATGTATATGCACGCGCATACTTTGGTGTGCATGCATATGTATATATAGATGTGAATGTAAAAGGACTGAGTAACAGAAGACGAAAAATTCCATCTTGGGATGTGAAATGGTGACTTTTATGATCCTGAATAAGTCTGTCACATCCACTGTATACAGAAACATTCTTTGCATAAAAAAAAATAACTCGAATTATTTGGTAACAGGATTTCTTTTTTTGTTGAATAAATGTTTTGCTAACGAAATCAGTAGTCTTTGTACCATTCTCTTTCAAGAGAAATATAGAACTAAAAAAAAAAGTGCCATTTTTTCTTTAAATAGTGTTTCCTACATATAAAAATTCTACAAAGACACTTTGCAGAATTAAATTAATTTTTTTTTTTGTCGAAGGCACATTATTAATTTCTACCAAAATTTATGAAAATATTGATTCTTAATTAAAATAGTTGATTGGGGCATGTGCCCCACGTATATATATATGTTTTGGATGTGTTATGCGCATAGAAAGACCGACAAAGATTTGTTATTGACAATAATTACACTGTCTCAATTCATTTCAAATTCTAAGTCAGGGTCATATATGTTTCGGTGAGGTTGAACTCAGAGATAGCTTTTTCTATCATCATACATAAAAGTAAGACCGCATCATACATATATATATATATATATATGTGTGTGTGTGTGTGTGGTATTAATTTGTTCAAAATTCTATATTTAATAAAAAAAAAACCTAGCTTATAAAAGATTGAGTAGTCATATCCTTTATATTTGCATCATATATCTTATAAATTAGAAAATTACGATACAGATGGTTACGGCTTGTTTGTGTTAATGTCGATCTAGCAAGACCAGACATTCAATAATCAATAATGGTTTTTAAAAGAAACAGAAAATAAATTTAATATATTGTTTTATAAAATAAGAACGAACTCGATCGACTTTTTCACACACATATTGCCGACGTAATTATTTCGTATGATTGATTTTTTTTTTGTATATAATCCATAAGTAACCAAACCGATCTCTATCCCTCCACATGCACACAAATATATGCATGTTATCAGCCTATGTGATGATCCGAAATGACTGACAGGATGCTTATATCGTCATTAGAAAATAAATCTGGACCGTCCATTTATTTCATGAAGAGGGTTAGAGATGTGGGTCCCGGTCCATTATACCTCACAAGCGTTGGAGATGTCCTATATACGCGTCTGTTACCATCCATACATATCATACACACACACATATATATACATGTGTATATGTGTGTATATATACAGTATACAAGGGGGGGAGAGAAATCGTGTTATAAAATTGCCGGAGTCCAAATTGTAAAAAAAAAAACTTTAGTACAAAAGAAAACAGAATCTGAAACGTCAAATCATGTAGTTGGGGTTTTGGAAGACTGTGGCTATTTGTGTCCCTAAGCTGTCTTGTCCAACGTCCATCACCCTTTAATATTTACCCTTTTTTTATTTTATTTATTATTTTATCCATTTGCTAAGTTTATTTTCATGTATTTATTGGCTGCCTCTCTCATTAGTCATTACATCTTTCAATATCCAATCATCTCACTCCAAGAACCATCTCCAATTGTCAAATTCTTCGCGACTTAGATTTTAAAAAAATATTTCATAACATGACTTGATTTTGCGATAAATTATATATAGAGTTTACATAATATATACTAATGTTGACATTTTACCAATTTTTTTTTTAATTTAGTTTAAATTTTCATCCATATCAAATATACGTAGCTTCTGCTCAATGTAAATAAAACTTTTAATTTGTTGTAGTAGTCCTTGATTATTCCAATTAGAATAATTTTGTTGCGTCAAAATAATGGATGATATAGTTTTTGTTTATATCGGAATAATGGTTTTCCCGAAATAAAAATGTTAAGTACGTACAATGCTAAGTTCAATACCACATGCATGATAAATTGTTTTACAAAATTTAGAATATTATTTGTGTAACTTCGTTTTCTGAAGTGAATATGCAAAACAATTTTGAAATATTTTAGTCTACCGTTCTCTCTGTTTTTTTTTTTTTGCGTGTTAACTATTTTCATTTCTAATAATATAATTTTGAAACTAAGAATATAACAAGTGAGTTTACATAAGCTTCTTTTAAAACTAAAAAGATTTACATATATAGTCAATTTTTTCCAAAGTCTATGAAGTTTATAAGTCAATTAAACATTAGTTTGCATTGGAATTGTTTTTTTTGTTTTGCTCTTCTTGTTATTGATAATTTAGATTAAATATGAATATTTAAACAAAATACGTGTACTTTAAATGTAAAATATTTAAAGGAAAACTAAAATAATTAAGAAGCATTTACTTGGAATTGCTCGTATAGACTCGATACTCTGTTGATGATCCACAATAATTTGTTAGATATGAGATTAACTTAAATCTTGATGATAAACCATTATTGCAATTTTAATAAAAATAATATTAGGAAGTGAAAATTTCGAATATTCACGAGAATCAACCCATCTAAAAAGAAAATAATAATAATAAAAAAGAAATAATTTCCGGATTTGGAGGCATATGTAGAAAAGGGCGTGAGAAAGGTCATGTCACCTGTAAAAGAACAAGCTTTCTTTTCATCAATCACAATTCACAAGTGACATTTACCTTTTTTTTTAAATTTATTTTTTCAATTTTCACAAGTTGCCCTTCCTCTTTTTATTGCCTTAGATCCTCTTTTGATTTCCTACTTTTTTTTTTGTTTACTTTATTTTCCAATTTTTGTAATCTATTTTATTTTGTAAGAAAAATAATGACAAACAGTCCATCTTGTTTATCTGCAATTTTTACTGATTAAAGGATATAAGATTACCAATAGTTGAATCATTCTAGTATTCCATTGTAGAACCCATCAGACTTTTAGATATATGACATCAATTCAAATTAAAAAATTAATTTTATTTTTTCACTGTCCAAGTTTTGGGTGAACAGAGAGACAATGCCTATTTTTTTCAAATACATAAATTATGCATTTATTGCCCACCAAAATTGCAAATTTTAATAAAAATGGCTACAAAAACTTTATACACATACATATGGTGGTTATTCAGAAAAATATTTTTCATTACTTCAATGGTTTTAGTCGCGCATTATGGATGATTTTGGAATAGTTTTGGAGGAAAAGAGAAAAACATGAATTAAATTTGAATAATTAATTAAACCCTAAATTCAGCAATACTCAACGATTCGTCTATTAATCACTTTCATACGTATTAACATTTTAAGAGCGTTATTTTATTTATGTCAAGAGAGATAATTATATATTTCGCTTTAAATGAAAAAGACAAGTTTTTTTTTATGAATGGTTATGAAAAAGACAAGTTAGCTAGGGCAAATGTTGGAAACATAAAGTTATGGGCACCAAGCACATATATGTCCCCTTTGTCATCGATTGCATTGAACACTATTCGATTAGACGTGATATATATATATATATATATATATATATATTTATTTATTTATTTATTTATAAAACCCATATATACATTCTCCTTTTTAAAATATGTATATATATATATATATATATATATATCCAGATCCAGATATTAAAATCCTTAAAAAGAACAAAATGGTCATTAGCAAGAAGCTTGGAATTGGTATAGATCAGTTCTTTCATTTTGAGCTCCATTGAAATTTCAGATTAAATTGGTTATTTTGGATTCATAATAGTAATAATTAAAGATTAAACAAAAAAAAATCCCTTTCTAAATTTTAAATAAATATTTTTAAAAAAAGGTGGTCCAAAGGGTCAACCGGGACAGAGGTACTATGTACTGAAGCAATCAAAGAAAAAAGAGAGAGTAACGTCACATCTCACACCAAAACGGGAACATTTCTTTCTCTGGTCCCCTCCTTTTTAATTATGTTACGCCTCGGTCCTTCTCCCGGTTTATTCCGGTTCAACATTTTTGGCTTTTGTCTAGCTTTTACAGCCAAGGTGGTTTATATATATATTATCTCTGGTTCTCAATTGAATTCCTTACCTTCTCAATAATCAGATAGTCCAAGTTTGATTTATTTAATCATAAATTATCATTTTTTTTGTTAACAGTAAATCATATAAATATAAATGTTTTACAATAGGGAAGACACATGGAATAGCATCCCTAAGTACAAATAGTAGAGATCATAATATCATATCCAAATGAAACTCAAGAGTTATACTAAAACCGTCATAAATATTTAAAAATTATAACCAAAAGTAGTAAAAAATCTAAAATCTATCTTTATCTTTGCGAGCTTTCCCGATTAGTGTGAAGTCGGTAGGATCAAAGTGGACTTTGTCATCACAAGAGCGAATGTTATACTTAGAATCTTGAGTTGTAGCAGCAATGGAAGAATGAGCGCGTAGAATTCGTTGCGTTTCTGCCACTAATTCTTCATCTGAATCCAAACAGATTTTTTGACAATGATAGATAGTGGGTGTGATAGAAACTAAATTGGTTAATGTAGGCGAAGATGGTTGGTTGTCTTGAACAAGTTCTTCCGAATCATACATGTATTTCCTCTGCGGGGATGCATGAGATGATAATAGGGGAACCTGAGTTAGGGGAGTTTGGGTCGGGGAAGGGTCTTTTTGTGCTATTGGGTCAGGATCGGGAGAGATTAGTGCTTTGGAAGATAAGGTCTCATCACGGAAGGAGGGTGAGAACCAAGTTTAACTTCGACCTTCACCTTAGCCTCATCAATGTTCAGAGGATCGAGTTGCATACGCTCTGTGTGTAGGGGTTCGCCCACTCTACATGCTATGTAGCTAATGCCCTTTAGCGAATAAAGTTTTGCACGTATATTTGTAAACTTCATCCAAATCGGAACAGTAGTTAATACCGACTTCCGTAAGGTTGCAGTGGCACGTCACAGTGAACATGAGATCTGCAGTTCTCCAAATACCGACTTCTATAATCCACTTCCGAATAGTAAGGTCAGGGATGTGGAACAGACAAGAAGTACTGTTGTTTATACTCCTAACATGTATCTCAACTGAATAAATTATCATTTTCTCTAAAAACCTAATACGAATCCGGCAAAATGAAAAATAAGACTAATTAGTATAAAGACAATATGTTTCAATTTTTTTTAATGAACGCTGGATTTTGAATGTGCTATTTATGTTGTAAAAATTTCTTCAATACTGAGCTGTTTATTAATTTCAGTGATTATTTTAAAAAATAATTTTTATATTCCAATAATAATAAGCAAATATCTTTGGGCTCTATGGGTTTACAAATAATAATTTATGATGACAGACCCAAATGAAGGCAGGCCATTTGTGAAAAGAAAAAACCTAGAACCTCCACTCGCTTCAAACTGCCACATTGACTCAACCGAAACCACACCCGGTTTGCAAAAACCGATCAAACTAAACCGGAAAATTTCTATCAGGGCATTCCTCCTCCGTTGATCGTCTTAAACCAAAAGAATAAGACTCTGCTAATCCTAATTCCTTGAACTCTGGTATCAAGGAACTGTATCAAGGAACTCTTAAACCTTAGAAGAGTTCCTTCTTGGTCGAAACAAAATCTCAACTACTAGAAAGCAACTTTCCTCGTTAAAAAGGAAACGTCCCTCGAATCCTCGTGGATGACGTCAACTGTTAAATAAAACAAGCCCTCTTTTTTTTTTTTTTAGCTAAAAAACACATAACCTATCGGTTAACCGATTTTATTAGGTTAAATAACTAAACCGAACCGGATCAATTAGGTATTCCATTACCATAACCAATGGGTTACTTTTGGAATAACCGATTGTTAGTTATTTATGAATTTAAAGGTTTCTACAAAACTTAAAAAAATCGCCATTAACAACCTTACCGCAGAGTTCATTAATACGAACTAAGATTCAGCGTAAGCAACCGTCATCATCAGCCGCTAATACTTTCTCTTTCCGTTAGAAAACTTATCCAAGTGACAGCATTTTATCTTATCGTATCGTCATCAAAACCTTATAAAACCAAAAGTCCACTTGTTTTTCTTCATCATATATCAAATATTTTTTTTCACTGCTGAGCACACTGCACCCTCTGAGCACCGTGAGGCTCGTCGTCGTCTTCATCGTAAGCCTCTTGCTGCTGCGACTGTTGCTTCCTCCTCATCTCCTCCTCGATATTCACGTCGTGGAGCGTCGTCTCCTCGCACTCGTCCAGCTCCATCTCGGACATTTGGGTCGACGGTTTCGGCGGCAACACCTTCTCCAGGGCTTTCACCTGGTCCGGCTTCAGAGTTTCCGGGAATTCGACCGTGAAGTGGATGTATAGCTTCCCTTTCATGAACGGCCTTTGGTACATCGGAGGATGCTTATATCGTCATTAGAAAATAAATCTGGACCGTCCATTTATTTCATGAAGAGGGTTAGAGATGTGGGTCCCGGTCCATTATACCTCACAAGCGTTGGAGATGTCCTATATACGCGTCTGTTACCATCCATACATATCATACACACACACATATATATACATGTGTATATGTGTGTATATATACAGTATACAAGGGGGGGAGAGAAATCGTGTTATAAAATTGCCGGTGATCAAACCCAGAGATTACACATCCGAAACCAGATCTTGGGAAATGCTTACCGGGTTTGACAACTTCGCCAGGGTTCGATTTGATGAGGAGTTGCCGGCCATCGAGATGAGTCAGCACAAACTGGAAGCCACACAATGCCTCGGTGAGGCATAAGGTGTGTTCATAGAAGAGGTCATCTCCCTTTCTCTTGAACTTAGGATGCTCCTTCTGCTGGAGGATGAACACAATGTCTCCGGTTATGGTGTCAGGCTGCACGCACAATCAGACATCACCAGATTAACAAACCTACATGAAGAATCTCAACAAATGGTCTTGAGGAGAAGCACTTACTGCTTCGTCGGCTTCACCAGGGAATGTGATTTTCTGTCCATTCTGCATGCCCTTCTCCACAAAAACTTCGAGAACTTTCTTCTCTGGGGAGACTTTCTCTCCTTTGCACTGTGAGCACCGGTCCTTGTCACTGATCATCTCACCGGTACCCTTGCAATCATTACACACATGCTGCATCTGCTGAATCATAGACGGTCCAAGCTGCCTGATCGTGACCTTCATACCAGAACCCTGGCAACCAGAACACTTCATGGATGCTCCAGACTTCGATCCCTTTCTGCAACCAAACACAAACCATGATGATGCACATGGAATCATGTAACGCGAATGGACCTGAGAAGGGGATGGTGAGAAACTAACCCCTTACACTTGGAGCACAAAACGTTCCTAGAGAGGGAAAGCTTCTTGGTTGTGCTGAGATAGAGATCTTCCAAAGAAACCTTTAGTGGGTGAACTACATCCTCTCCCCGTCTCTGCCTACGACCCCTGCTGCTACCACCGCCTGCAAGACAGAGCTAACAGGATTAGCTCAACATAATCGAAAAAGAGAAAACAACCCTACGAAGAGAACACATCATCAATCTCACCTCCAAATCCACCACCACCACCACCACCAAAGAACGACGAGAAGATGTCAAATGGGTCATGGCCACCAGGACCACCGCCCATTCCTTCTTTTAGAGCATCCTCGCCATACTGGTCATAGATGTCACGCTTCTCGGGATCACTTAGTACCTCGTACGCATGAGCCAATTCCTTGAACTGAAGACAAGACGCGACGTTTTACAAAGCATTAGCAATAACAAAAGGCACAACCTTGATAAGCATACAAGAAAACTACAAAAATGCATATGCCAAATCCAGTAATTCGAGGAAGAATTGTTTCATACTACAATTTCCCTCCTCAAGATAGATTGCAACACATGGATCACATCAAATAATCATGGTCCTTGAATTGAGGGCAAACTCCCTCGGTCTTCGGAAACCCAAAAGAATTCTTCACAGATTCGTACTCCACACCGATTTCAATCAAAATGCATAACAAGGACAGGATCCTAGCACGATAAGAACTAAATCAACCCTAAAAACCCAGACAGTGAACAGCCTGGACAACAAATGGATCGATAGTCCTAGTTACACCCGATCACCTAAGACAAAGACGAGAAAGACGCACACAGCAATTCTACAGACGAAAGCTCGAAATCCAAACACAAATCCATAGAATTCAAACAACAGATAGCGAATCACGACCGTCAACTCCAATCCGATCCGACCCGATCGGATCGGCAAATTCAACAACTCGTACCTTCTCCGGATCTCCACCCTTGTCGGGATGATTCTTGATCGCGGCTTTCTTGTACGCCTTCTTCAGATCCTCCGGAGACGCGTTCTTCGAGACACCTAGGATCTCATAGTACCTCGTATTATCACTCTTCTTCGGCGCTCTACCAAACATCGTGAGAAGAAAGAAACCCTAAATCTCCGAAATCCCCGAAAATCAAATATCTGAATCTGAGAGTTCTACTCGATAGATCGGAGAGAATCGGAGGAGGAGGAGCTTGCTTTCAACTATGAACAATGGGAATGGAGGTTGTCAAGAGAAGCGAAGCATATAAAATGGTCTTGTTGCGAAATGTGGTTGTGGTTGTGAGATTGAACCGACGGCTCAGATTTCGCCTCCCAAGTCATCGGTCAATTAAGAAGGCTCTAGAATTTTGGTATGCGTCAATAATGAAGGAAAAAAGAATTAGGAGTTTTCAATATACTACTTCAACTTTTATATTTCTTCGTTTACGACCCTATATTCTCAAAATTGCACGTTTGTACCATTAAAGCAACTGCCTCTTTTGATTCAATGCGTGCCGATGGTTCTTTTCAAATGGCTAAAATGTATTCTTTCTTAATTTCGCATTTCTCATGCACAGCCTATGTTATAATCGTGTTATTTCTTGTGATTTAATTTAATATTTCAAACTTTATATTTTTTTCCTATCGTTTATTATATCTAAACGATTTTTAATAATCGATTAACTAAAATAATTTTATTTCAATTGTCATACCATTCTCATCATCATCATATCATATCATATCATATCAATATTACTGTCCTAATTTGTTTTTTCTTACAAAACCAAATTATGTTATTGAGAATGTATATTTAGATATTAATACAAAATTATAACTTTCAAAATTAAAATATATTACAATTTTAAGATTTAGTTGTATCAATTATTACAGATGATACAAAAAATCATCGTTTTTCAATTTAAAAAAAATGTATACAAATTATTAATAAAATCTTAAATCAATATAAAATTCAAGATTATCAGGAATTTTTTTCAACCATATTAAAACATAAACTTTCAAAATATTAAAAAAAATACACAACTCTACTATTCAGTCAGTATATCCGTATGAAAATGTTATCACATCACATTCTTATACATATACACACATACACACACAAACACTCTTGTGTGTATATATATACGTACATATATAAATATATGCATGCTTATGCATGCACATACTTATACACACATACACATATATATCATACATATAATATATATATATAAATACATATTGTTTGTAAATGTGCTATATAAATGTCTGTGTATATATATATATATTTATAGGTGTGAGATCTTGCATATATATATATATGAGCGTGAATAAATATTTGTATGTATATGTATATGTGTGCATATATATATGTGTGTGTACAAATATGCATATTTTTGTTTATATATATGTATATACGTATGAGCATGTATATCTGTATGTATTTTTTTAATTTTTTTAAATTTTTTTTAAAAAATAGCACAAACAAAAAATCTCTTTTTATGATTTAATGTACCCCACATGAAGACGGTGCCCACTGGTAAGTGGTAACCGATGTTTCGGTATCCATACCAATCCGGTTTAGGTATTTGGTTTTGGCTAACTGATGCGAATTATTCAGCACAAATTTGAAAGAGAATGAACAAGGGCGTAGTCTTGCCAGATTCTGCGTCTATGGAGGGTTTTATTTTTTATTTTTTATTTTTAAATGTATGAGGCCTTCTTGAATCTTGAAATCTTTTTATATCATTAACTAATTACTAACGTTCGTTTCTTATAGTTTTAACAGAAAAAAAAATATGAAGATAATAAAACCCATAGGAAAAGAATGTATGAAGTCTTGAGTAGTCTTCATATTATTTGCATAAAAAATACTTAAAGAAGATGTAAATACACATTGAACTTAAAACTAGGAAAATAGAAATGGAATTTAAAAAATGGAAAACAAAATCTATCACAATAATCGCTGCGTTGATTAAGAAAGAGAAGAGGCCGCAACGTGTGTGTATATATATATATATGATATTCTGTATTGTATTTACCTCGAAAGCACAGACGAGATAACGAAACAATGGTTTCCAGCATCGCCTTTTCTTCGTCTTCTTTCTCCGGCAAGAAACTTTCTCAACAGAATTCAGTATTTAGAAGAAGACAGTCAACCGTGATCAAGAAAGCTCAGGAACTCTCCACTCTGTGTGGAATCGATGTCTGTGTCATATGTTATGGTCCCGATGGATCTCTTCAGACATGGCCCCAAGACATCGACAAGATTAGGGACATTGACTTCAAGTACAGATCGCTCGACGACACCCTCAGACGCAAGAGAAGCTTGAATCTTTCCTCCTTTCTTAACAAGATTGAGCACAGTCATGGTCACGATTCCATGGATCTGACGATTAAGGTTGATGGGTTCTCTTCTGATCGGTTTTCGGAGTTGGGTGGTCTCTTGGAGAGAAATATACTCTGTCTGAAACAAAGGCTTACGTTTATTGAATCGGAGAAATACAAAACCGCGGCTAATAAGAAGATCGACGATGTCCAAATCAGTAGTTCTTGCCAGTCGATCTTTGGACAGACTCAATCTGTGAATCTCCCCATAAACCCTAGAATATTTTTTGGGTTTGTCATGGACGAACAGAATGCAGCAGCGATGTTGGGTGGGAATGCATTTCCAGACAACGGATGCAACAATTCTCCGCAATACGCGTACTACAATCCAGGTTTTAACAGGACCATGATTCCAGAGAGGAGGAGGAGGAGGGTGATTCAGCAAAATCTGATGATCAATGGCTGTGGGAGCGGAGGCGCCTTGCAGCGGTTTAGAGTTTCTAAGAAGGGGGATGGGAGGTGAAAGCAGAAGCATAAATATGGGAATGGAATCGAGGAACTCTGGTTTACTTGCGCCACAAGGATACATGAATATCAACCATCTGATGTTCAATCAACAGCGTCCTCAGTTTGCTCCATTTTCAGACATCCAGAACATTAACTAGTAGGTCTTAATGTATGATTTCAGGATTGCTTCGTCTTCATCTTCCATTTCTTAGTCTGATAACACAGTGACTGACGATTTTTGCTCAAGTTTCTTGGACCACGAGGTGAAATTAATTACGTTTTTTCATCGAATTTTTCCACTTCTAGCCGCATATATGAATCTTGGGTTTGGAATGTCAATCAGACAATGAAGATGCGTAATGTGTAATGTATAAAGCGTAAAATATATTTAATTTAGAATGTTCTATGTATCAAAAATCCCGACCCGATTATAAGTATGAAAAACGCATCCAAGCGTTAAATGATGACACTATCTTTATAACAATTCTCTGTCTCTCTCCTAAGAATAACATCCATAAGATAAGAATCGTGTCTCATGTATATATACAGTGGCCGATCTACATTGATGGCAATAGAGACCTTTACCTCCACTACTTAAATTAAAAAAATTTAATTTCTTTTGTAAATTTTATAAATTTGTAAATAAAAATTGAAATGCCCCATATTAAAACGTTAAAATTATAATTTACCCCCTATTAAATATAATTTTTGATCCGCCACCACTGTGTATATATATATATTTATACATATTCAGTTGTACTGTATCCATAATTATTATTATTTTTTTTTAACAGAAATGCATCTTCATTTGCTGTAGACGTCATAACAACGTCCGCGTCGCGCATGCATATTAAATTATAAATATCTCTTTTATAAACTAAACCCAAAATAAAGACAGGAATTTGGAACATCGTGTCTCTAAATATTCACAAACTTGGTGGAATTAAATCGCATATTCGCGAACCCTAAAATTATTTCGTGTTACAACATAACTCAGCCTTAAAATAATTTTTCATTTTGTTCGTATCGCACATCCAAATTTTGTTCAAAATTTTCCCCAACCACACGAGAGAAAAAAACCCCATATATTACAAGAATATCGTGTAAATGTCGCATCCTATCCGTCCACGTCATGCCGCATTATTCCACGTCATCACACGTGGACAATAGCGAACAAAAAAAGAGAAAAAGAAAAAAACAATTACGTGTCTCTCTGCGACGAGCTTCTCCAGAAACCGGCCCCATAGAAATGGTTCCACATCTCCTTCTCCATGGCCACGGCGTCGTTTTGCTGACCACCAAACTTCTCCTTCTCCTCCACCGCAATCTCAGCCGTCCGATCTTCTCCGTTCAATCTCAGCCGTCCAGACACCTCGCTCGCCTCCGCCGCCGCCTCTAGCAGGCCCTGACGCTTCCCGGATAATCTCCGGCGTTTCCTCCGTCGCCACGCCTTCCTGCATACCGCTACCGGAACCCTAACAACCGCCAGAACCACCAGATTCATCACCGCGCAAGGGCAGCAACAACACACCGCCGCGCACCCCGCCGCCGCTCCTCCGGCAACCTCCGCCGCCTTCTTCCTCTTTTCACCCGGTACGGTGGCTCTAACCGAAGATTCCAACGAGGCGAGCAGCGGCTGGCCCCTGTTAATCGCCGACGATCGGAGAATCACGCGACGGGGCATGAGGAATCGGATTTGAACAGCTTCCGAAACGAAACAGGTTCTGGGTTTTGTCTGATCACAGAGGGAGAACTCGTCTCAGATTTTCCCGGGAAAATCGAATTCCAGGAAAAACGACCCATCTCCGATCCTGTTCGCCATCGTTCTGGGCATCAAAATATGACGACGATGAGGATCCAGAAAAGGAGAAGTGGGAATCGGAGGAGGGATTGCAGTGGGGAGAGTTTCGGTGCCAAAGCAAGTAAACAAATGTGCTTTTGAATAGCTGTTTGGTTGGGTGGAAAATTTAGAGGTGGCGAGAAAGTGAGAGAAAAAAAATGAACGTCAGGCCAGAGGAAATGGAAGCGCGACCGAATAGGGGGGAAGCCGCAATTTGAATCGACACGCTTTAACGTAAACAATGGCCGCCGATAAGATCGGAGAAATCAAAGATTGTAAAAATGAGTGTCGTTTCACCCGGAAATTGAAACGTCTTTAAACGTCATCGTTTTTTTCTCCGGTATACCATGCGAGACAAAACCGAAACACAATTCCATGCGGTTTGCTTCAAACTGACCAAATCTTAAATGTATAAAATGCACATCTCTATATATATATATAATTGGGGATATCGCCATAAAAATCATGTACTTTTTTGCTTAACAATTAAACTCTATACTTGGTATGATTAACCAATAAAACTCCAAACTTGTTAATAATTCACCGAAAACCCCCTGCGTCTACCAACTCAAATAAAAATGATGATGTGACAATGACTTGGCTTCCAAATTATATACACATCATCAAAATTATGACACATCATCATTTTACATAAAAATAAATAACATAATTTATTTAAATTAATTTATATACATATAAATTCACACATATATATATTAAATATAAAATTACTTATAACTAATAAAACATATATATATATTATAAATTACATTAAAAATAATATATATATATACATATTATTTTTTAATATATAGTGTATATATTAGTTATAATTACTTTTATTTTAATATGTATATTAGATGTATATATATATGTTATATGTATAACTAATATATATACATATACATATTATTTTTAATAGATATATTATATATGTATATGTTAGTTATAATTATTTTTATTGTAATATGTATATTAGTTATATATGTATATGTTATATATATAACTACAATATATATATATATATATATATATATATATTGTATAGTATAACTAATACATATACATATTACAACAAAAATAATTGTAACTAACACATACACATATAATGTATCTATTAAAAATAATATGTATATGTATATATATTAGTTATACATGTAACATATATATATAACTAATATGTATATTAAAATAAAAGTAATTATAATTATAAATAATATATATATATATATATGTGTTTTATTAGTTATAAGTAATTTAATATTTAATATATATTTAATATATATATATATGAATTTATATGTATATAAATTAATTTAAATAAATTATGTTATTTATTTTTATGTAAAATGATGATGTGTCATAATTTTGATGATGTGTACATAACTTGGAAGCCAAGTCATTGACACATCATCATTTTTGTTTGAGTTGGCAGACGCGGGGGTTTTCGGTGAATTATTAACAAGTTTGGGGTTTTATTGGTTAATCATACCAAATATAGGGTTTAATTGGTAAGCAAAAAAGTACAAGGTTTTTTCGTTGACCTGGGAAAAGTACAGGGTTTTTATGGCGATTTCCCCTATATAATTTATATGATATACGTGTACACATCATCATTTTTGTTTGAGTTGGCAGACGCGGGGGTTTTCGGTGAATTATTAACAAGTTTGGGGTTTTATTGGTTAATCATACCAAATATAGGGTTTAATTGGTAAGCAAAAAAGTACAAGGTTTTTTCGTTGACCTGGGAAAAGTACAGGGTTTTTATGGCGATTTCCCCTATATAATTTATATGATATACGTGTATATGCACATTCATAACGCGTATGCACCAATGCACGTCTGCGCTCATGTCTATATATACTTATATATATATATATATGCGTGTTATATACATGTGTATATATATACAAATGTTTTAAATTGATATTTTATTCAATATTTATAAATTATTTGAATTTGTCAAAGGTGTTCTGAAAAACACTAGAAAAATTAAAACAGTTATATAACAATGCACTTCCTTGCGAACTTTTAGCAACAAAAATATTATGACAAATCGTAAAGTCTTTGCGGTGAAATATTTTTATTGAAAAAAAAATCAAAAAATTAACCAGCGAAAATTTCCAAAAATTACAAATCGCAGCTAAAATTGATTGCAAAATTGATTTTACATGTGATATTATCAAAAATATTCTCCCTCTATTATTTTGACTTCAACACATATCCTTATCATATCCTTATCCTATTGTGATCCTATAATCTATGTGACCAGAAATATATTCTGTTCACATATTGGTTCCATTGGTCATAATGTGTGATTTATAATGTTTTTTATCAAATGATTAGTGAGACATACAATGGATAAACATTAGGGGTGGGCATTCGGTTCGGTTTCGGTTATTCTTAAAATAACCGATTGGCTATGGAAATTGTAAAACCGATCGGGTCGGTTCGGTTCGGTTAAATAACCGATTTAATCGGTTAACCGATCGGTTATCTAAATATAACCTAAATGAATACTAGGGTTTTATATTGTTTTTTGTCTCCACCATTTGCTTGCTTTGGTCTTCTTCTCCGCCACCTAATCTCGTCACCTTCATCTTCAGGTTTCAATCGACTGAAATCGAAGCATCATCTCCGGCCACCGTCTACCACCAAAGTATCGTCGCCGGCCACCGTCGAACACCGAAGCACCGTCTCTGACTATCGAAACACCATCTCCGACCACTTTCGATCACCGAAGCACTACCTCCGACGTCTCAAACCACTTTCGACAACTGAAACCCGTTTTCGACCACCGAAACATCAGCTCCAACAATAGTCGACCACTGAAGCATCGTCTCTGACCATCTTCGGCGACCGAAACATTCCTCAGATCATCTTCCATAGAGTTTCAGGTCTTGTTTTCTCTCTTTCTTTGTCTTTGTATAAACATTCCTCAGATTATCTTCTATCATCGACCAAAGCATCATCTTCCATCATCGACATTGCTCAGAGAGTTGAATTGCTAGTTTGTTGATGAGGAAAAACTTGAACTTGTGCCCTTCTGTTCTCGATTTGTAAACGAGAATTTCTGAACATTACAGATTTTATATATGTATATAATATTGGAAAATCTGAATGCATATACATCTATAGATATGTATATTTTGGACCTTACGCACATAGAACTATGATCCCCATTTGTGTTTGTTTATGTATTCGGACATTATTCTAGCCCTTCGTTGTGCATTTGGATATATATATATATATATGTATATATATGGTCCTCCTCCATCTCCATGTCCATACATTCTAGCCCTTTGAAATACTTTGGCTCATTCATATTGTTTTTGTATTTACAGATGGCTAGTTCAAATTTGGAATTATTTGAGGTTACAGAAACAAGAGCTGAAACAGGAGCTGAAACCGTTGGAGATAAGAGAAAAGAACCTCCTAAATCAAAAAGGGTAGTTCCGGCAAGATCGGAGGTATGGACTCATTTTACTAAACTCACGGATAACCCACAGAAATGTTCTTGTAACTATTGTGGCGTTATATTGAATGGGTCCTCAACAACGGGTACGAGTAGTTTGAGAAGCCACATTGTGAATACCTGCAAATCGTATAAGAGTTATCTTGAAAGTGGAGCTCAGAAAACTTTAAGGAAGGATGAGTCTAAAACATCGGATTCAAAACTTATTGCCGTCGGCTTTAGCCAAGAAGCATGTAAAAGGGGGCTCTTTGAGATGATTATAACGGATGAATTGCCTTTTGCAATTGTTGAAGGTAGAGGATTTAAGAAGTTCTGTAATATTATGTGCCCGTCATTTGTGATTCCTTCGAGAAGAACGATAACTAGAGATGTTTATCAGTTTTTCTTGAATGAAAAAGCTGCTTTGAAGAGCATATTGAGTGAGAATAAGCAGAGGGTTTCTTTCACGACGGATATTTGGACTTCCATTACAACAATGAGTTACATGGTTATCATCGCCCACTTTATCGACAGAACGTGGTATTTGCATAGAAAAATTCTTAGGTTCAGGCCTATTTCAGATCACAAGGGAGAGACAATTGCTAGAGAGTTTATGAAATGTTTGATGGATTGGGGCATTGAGAAAGTGTTTGCTATCACTGTTGATAGTGCTAGTGCAAACGACAGTGCTATGAGGCTCTTAAAAACTAGATTGGGTGCTTGGGATAAAGATACTCTTGTATTGAAGGGTGAATTCATGCATATGCGTTGTGGAGCACATATTCTCAATCTGATTGTTAAAGAGGGGTTATCAGATATATGTGATAGTGTGAGCAGTATTCGTAACGCTGTTAGATATGTGAGATCATCGGATACAAGGTTGCAGACTTTCAAAAGTCGAGTTGGGGGTGGTAACTTTAGCAGAGGAAGTTTGGTTTTGGATTGTGGAACACGTTGGAACTCGACTTTTCTAATGTTGTCTTCTGCTTTGAAGTACAAGGAAACATTTAAGCGTATGGAAAGAGAAGACAAACTTTATGAGGATTATTTTGGTGATGAAGATGAATTTAGGATCGGGAAGAAAAGAGTTGGTCCTCCTTCAGAAGATGATTGGGAAAATGCTCGTCGATTGGTACGATTCTTGAAGACATTTTATGAATCGACTTTGACATTTTCAGCTTCTACAAAGGTGACTTCTAGTAGTTGTTACAATGAGATCATGATGATAGAACCGATTCAACCTTTATGATCTCATTGTAACAACTACTAGAAGTCACCTTTGTAGAAGCTGAAAATGTCAAAGTCGATTCATAAAATGTCTTCAAGAATCGTACCAATCGACGAGCATTTTCCCAATCATCTTCTGAAGGAGGACCAACTCTTTTCTTCCCGATCCTAAATTCATCTTCATCACCAAAATAATCCTCATAAAGTTTGTCTTCTCTTTCCATACGCTTAAATGTTTCCTTGTACTTCAAAACAGAACACAACATTAGAAAAGTCGAGTTCCAACGTGTTCCACAATCCAAAACCAAAGAGTGGAAGTAGAAATAGAATGGTTGGTAATACAGATTCGTGCGAATTGTCAATGGGTACCAATGATTTTGATATTGACATGGGTTTCATACAAGATGATGATCCGTTTGCTTCATTCAATCAAATGATGACGGACAAAGGAGTTATTGAGGAATCACCGAATGAGTTGGATATCTATTTGATGGAAAAGGTTGAAGTGATCAAACCTAACAATTTAGGTTTGAAATTTGATATTTTGTCATGGTGGAAGGTGGCGAGTGGTAAATTTCCAATTTTATCAGAAATGGCGAGAGATATATTGGCATTTCCGGTTTCTACCGTTTCATCTGAATCAGCATTTAGTACCGGAGGTCGCATTCTAGACCAATGTCGGAGTTGTTTAACTCCCGATATGGTTGAGTCATTGATCTTTACGCAAAATTGGTTGCAATATTCTATTTGTTCCGATGAAAATCGTAACTTATTGAGTGAGAATAAGCAGAGGGTTTCTTTCACGACGGATATTTGGACTTCCATTACAACAATGAGTTACATGGTTATCATCGCCCACTTTATCGACAGAACGTGGTATTTGCATAGAAAAATTCTTAGGTTCAGGCCTATTTCAGATCACAAGGGAGAGACAATTGCTAGAGAGTTTATGAAATGTTTGATGGATTGGGGCATTGAGAAAGTGTTTGCTTTTGAATTTGCTTTTGTATTGACAATATGGAGACAACAACTTTTTTTGTTTAATTTGCCGTTTTTATTTTATCGCGACGATGAAAGACTATGTTGACTTTGTTATTTATTTTGTCGAGATGATTTTTTTCTATTATGTTTTGTTTAACCGAACCGAACCGAACCGAACCGAACCGAAATCCTTATTTGGTTATAATTTGGTTATAATTTTAAATAGACAAAACCGAACCGAACCGAAACCGAACCGAACCGAACCGAATAAAATTAATTAACCGTTTGGTTATGAATTTTAATAACCCGAAATAACCGAACCCGAAATAACCGTAACCGATTAACCCGTAACCGACCGTTCGCCCACCCCTAATAAACATGATAAATTAGTGTCATCATCATAAATTTAAACTAATAACATTAATATGTTACCAGATTATATTTCTAATTACATAGATCACAGAATCATAATTAGAGAATGTATTGTAGTCAAAATAGTAAAGGGATAGTGTTTTTGATATAAAGGCATTTGATCATGACTCGCTAATTAATGCTTTGCAATATGGCCTATGAAAAATGTCCACAAAAAAGTTTGTCTTTTTGTTTCCCTACGTACATTTCGAAATTGTCATTTCATTTTATTTGTTATAATATTCCACTATCAATATATATAATTACAGGCAATATGTCATTTGAATTTGCCATCAGGTTTTGTTTTGATATCCATATATATATATATATATATATATATAATATTTCGATCCACACGTGATACACGAGAGTTATTATAATATTCTAAAATAATTTTATAATCTTATGGCAATCTTTGATAATTTGTCTGATTCAAAGTTTCGAATCTGCCAACTCATTGTTGACGTAGATATCAATAATTTAGCATAAAGATAATCGAAAGGCAACATCTTTTGTCAATTACATAAAGCACAGGCCATTATTGCATATTTTTTTGGTATTAAATTAAGCATGTACTTGTCCATGACTCCCATTTTGTTACCTAGAAAAAACTTTATTTTGATATCTAAATGAATTATTATTTTATTTTGAAACGAATGAATTTTAATTCTGTTTTGATTCATAAAAAAATTATGATTTTCTATCAAATAGACAAAAAGAGTATTGATTTTGTAAAGACTCCTAAAAAAAAGTATATCATAGAAAATTATCCAGATACGTGAAATATTTTTTTGCTAAACATTATATAATTATTAAATAACGCATGTTATTTGATAATGTGATATTGTTTTATCGAAAATAATAAAATAAATCAAATGACAGATTTTATATTTCGGTATTCAAATAAATCATAATTTTATATTTTTTTAAATCTCAATATATCATGGTTTTTAAGATAGGATTAAAAAATCTTAAAATAAATCGGCGTTAGTATCAACTTTTGCTTTTTTAAGATCATTAGACTTAGATTACAAAATTAAATATATGACAATTACATATTTTCGAATATTTTTTTTTAAAATCATTGAGAGACTTGGAATAAAGTTTTGAGAGAAACCACAAACAAAAATATATTTACTTAAATAATGTAATTAAATTGTTAAGGTTGTTATACGGAGAGAATCAAAATTACAGATTTTGTACTAAATCCATTACGGATCTCTGTCATCTCATCCCTATATGGTAAAGTCTTTAATTAATCCTAATGTTTGTAGAATATGTATCCATCCTTTCATGTACTAAAAAAAAATATTATTTTAACTCTAATTTTCCAAAAGTCGATAAGATCGGAATATTAGAGAGTGACGCAACGAAAGAAGTTTCACGACAAACCCAACAAAGGAAACATCATAACACAACTTAATCAAATTTCAGACCAGAGCCTCTTAGTTGATGTTCAATGATCTGGTCGATTCGTGTTGCCATATCAGGAGTTAGATGATTCTTCCAGTCACCGACCTCGCCCTTCCTGAAAAAGGCGCTGCAATCTATACTGGAAGGCGTTTTACCGTTCTTGTTGACGTCTAAATTGCTCAGGCTGCGCAAACTGCAGAGCTCCAGTATCTCATCCACCAGCCCGCTCCGCTCCTCTTCTTCCGTGAAGGGGCAGTCCAAGAACCGGGCGAGCCTCTTGGTCTGAGCACGAGGGTCGTTCTTGATTTCTTCGTACTTGACGAAAAACACTTGCTTTGGACTCTCCAAGCTCTTTCTCCAGTAACCCAAGACATGGTCCCAGAAAGGCCCGTAGAAGCGGACGCCACTGCAGAAGGACTCGAACTGGGCCTCCATCTCCGCTTTTGAATTCAGCAATCTGCTTCTGAAATGCCATGCGGAGACCACTACGTCTTTAGGGTTCCTACAAACGTACACGACTTTGCAAGGGGAAGCTTTTATTACGGCTTCGCTCAGCGTATGAAACGGCATGTGAGTTGAAAAGAGCCTCGGGGAGGGATATTCAGTAAGGTCGGGAACTCGGTTATCGGCATACAACACAAGCTCTAGAAAGGGTACGAGGCTATGAGGGTTCCGAGTGAGCAAAGGGTGGGTCTGATCTGGATCAGGACGATGCTTTTTCCTCTCGACGATGGCGAAAATCAGTGCTTTGACCAAGTTGTGCCCGATTTGGGAAAAGAAGCGAGGATTACGTCGGTGTCCAGTGGTCGGAAGTGGTCGCGGACATTAATAACGGCTTGCAGAGAGTTGTAGTAATACCAGTGGCCTTGATAGTTGCAGAGGTTGATTCCCTCGAAATCCTTGTCTGTTGGAAGGGAAGAGATCAAACTCCTGCATTCTTCACTAAGTTCATCGTCCCCCATGATCTTCAGAATACTTTGGGAATCCTCTTCCATATTGTGAGTATATAATGCGACCACCAAAAAGAGAACAAAAGCTTTAAACTTTTACAAAAAAAAAAAACGTTTCTTTATTTGAGAGAGAGATCGCAGTGGTGCATTTGAGATTCGAAATGGGCAATGGATATTTATAGTGGGATGGATTAAGCATATTAAAAATCATCAAAATGTTATACAAATAAATATGACAACATTATATTTGCCTATGCAGGAGTTACTCATTTTACGCAATTATATTATATATATATATACATTTAATTTTTTATAATGAAGAAATTCACAGCTCCGATCCAATTATATCTCCTGCGAAAAAAAGCATATGTGAATACACTATATCATTAATTTAACATAATTTATTCAATTGACAAATTATTTGAGTCTGACAAATATGTTTTGTTTTAAAATCCAATTATACAATGCTTAAACTAATCTGGTTGATAACTTATTATAATTACTCTTTTTAAATAAGATACGTTTGGTAATATAATCTTTCGAATGATATGTTTAATTTGTACTGTTGATATTCCTGTCTATTAAATATTTATATGCCAACCCAGGCGCTCACATCACATGTATATCATTAATTTAACATAAATAAATATAGTTGGAATTAATACGACAAAGTTTACCAAATATATCACAAGCATTTCAAAAATATAAACAGCCTTTTACCAACATGTAGATATGATTTTTTTTTCATTCATGAATTTTCTTGTTCTAAAAATAAAAACAACCTTTTGATTTCTCTTGAATTTTCTTTACCTAAACCATCTCATTCTCCAACCATAAATAGGAGAGAAGCACGAAATGTTTTTGGTGCGACTTTCTTCTTTTCCATCTTTCTAAGTTTTCTCTTTCAGTCACCATATGGCAAACTCCGAGACCCAGGTTCCAGCTTTCTTGGATCTAGACAGCATCTCCCAAGAATGCAGGGAGATGATGTCTCGTCTTCCAAGAGAACGAGGTTGGATGAACCTTTTCTTGTACCAATACCAAGGATTTTGGCACCCTCCTCGGCAGTTGCAGGCAACCATAAACTGCCAAAGGCATTTCCAAGCCCAAGACTCGGACATAATCCTCGTCACCTATCCTAAATCAGGTACCACCTGGTTGAAAGCGCTTGTTTTCTCTCTGATGAACCGACATAACCTCCGAGATCATCATCCTTTACTCACTAACAGTCCCCATCTTCTCGTTCCTTTCTTGGAGCTCGATCTTTACTTCGATGCCCATGCCCCTGATCTATCCCAGATGACGTCTCCTCGACTTTTCGCTACCCATTTACCGTTCGTTTCACTGCCAGAACCTATCAGGCGCTCGTCCTGCAAGATCGTGTATTGTTACAGGAATCCAAAGGACACGTTCGTTTCGCTTTGGCACTTCAGTAAAAAACTAAGGCCAAAAGAGCTGCCAAGCCTTCCGATGGAGCTTCTGTTCGATAGGTTCTGCAGTGGGGTTAGTGCGTACGGACCCTTTTGGGATCACGTGCTTGGATACTGGGAAAACCCTCGGGAAACCCCTGGGAAAACGTTTTTCATTACGTACGAGGAGATGAAAGCAGAGCCTCGAGCCCAGCTGAAGAGGCTGGCCGAGTTCTTGGAGTGTCCGTTTTCTAGGGAGGAAGAGGACAAAGGAACGGTTGATGATATCGCGAGGCTATGCAGCTTTGACAGTCTAAGTGGCTTGGAACCGAACAAGATCGGGAAATTACCCATCGGGGTTGATTCTAACTCTTTCTTTAGGAAAGGAGAGGTCGGAGGATGGAGAGACGCCTTGACGCCTTCAATGGCCGAAGAATTGGATCGAATCTCTGAACACAAGTTTCGTGGCTCCGGCTTCAGCTTTTAAGTCCCGATTTCAAAACCCTAAATCATATATATATATATATATCCATTAGTGTTTATGTTCGTCTGTTGTGTATTAATGTCAATAAAAGCTTCGACTTGTAATGAAATTTACTTTGCATTCATATCTCTGCTTTTATTTTGTTGTCTCCGTCGTTTCTTTATGTTTATAGTAAAATCTTTATTGGTTGATAAAAAAAAACGTGAACATTTCTTGTTGTGTTCTTCAATGCCTAAACGCACAATATTTATACAAAGACAAGATATTTCTTACCAAAGACATATTGAGAAACATTGAAATCACTAAAAATTTAAAAAAAAATAAAAACAATTAAATAGCAATGAACTTGCTTGCAAACTTTTAGGAACAAAAATACAATGAATTTACAACGAAATTTTTTTGTGGGAAATTGCAACATTTTTGCAGCGAAATCATTTGTTGAAAAAAAAAATCGATGGACATTTTGATTAGTACATGATTTACCATGCTTTGCAAATATAACCTATGAAATATCTTTTGGTTTTCCCTATGTACATTTCGAAATTGTCATTTCATTTCATTTGTTGTAATCGTCTACACCGATGCATTAGCGTAGTTTTATTCCACGTGATTAGTGACTTTATATACTCCACCATCTTTGATGAAAATGTGAATAAAATCGTATTTTTATGTGTATATTTCAAAAGTATTCATGGGACCTATATTATGATATTTAAAAAAAGGATTGGACAGTTGTATTATAAACTGATAGAATGTTTTTCTTTCTTGTATCAACAATCATTAACGACATTATTGCCCTAAAAAGTACATAATAAATTATGACCGACGTCACGTGTACGTATGCGATTTGATCGCATTGGCCCAAATGCGTTTGCATGCATGCACAAATAAAATTATTCGAATTTGCCATCAGGTTTTGTTTTGGTATCCAATCATACATATTATTTATAAAATATTTCGATCCACGTGATTCACGAAAGCTATCATAATGTTCTAAAATAATTTTATAATCTTATGACAAATCTTTGATAATTTGTCCGATTGATCCGTCTGATTCAAAGTTTCGAATCTGTCTGACGCAGATATCAATAATTTAGCATATAAAGATAATCGAAAGGCGACATCTTCTATCAATTATATAAAGCAACATGTCATTAGAAAAGTGGAATTGTTGGAAAGGGATGATGCCTAGAAAAAACTTGATCTTAATATCTAAATGAATTTTTATTTTGAAACGAATAAATATTAATTTTGTTTTGATTAATTAAAAAATTATGATTTTATATCAAATAGACAAAAAAAGTATTGGTATTTATGTTGGTTATAATCTTGTCATGATTATTTTGACCTTTTCATTTTAATATATTTATCTTATACACATCAACAATTTTAATTTAAAAAATGACACATCAGCTGACATCATCAATCCATCAATACATGGATTTTCGTTCGCTTGATATTATGGTCAAACCGGTCAAAAATTTATTACAGTAACAATTTGCATATTCGAGAGTTTATTCAGTGACAAGTTATAAGTTTGGGAATTGAATCATAACTTTTCAAGTTGAAAGTTTATTTGTATATATTTTTGCAAGTTGGAGATTTTTTTTAGAAGTTTTGCCCTTTTAAAGACCTATTCTCACGGTATGTGAGTAGTGGTTCTTTCATTGTAGCTTTATTGGTAGAAATGTATATATATTTAAGAACTTGAAATAAAATTTAACCTTGGGGCCAAACCAGAAATAAATTCTCAGTTTCACGCTTTTCTTTGAAAATTTCAAAGTTTATTTTTGGTTTAGAACTAAGGGGTTTTAGTTTTGTCATGTGATATCAGATATTGGTTCGAGTTTGTTTACTAAAAAAATATACCATAAATTATCGAGATACGTTTAATTTGATTATCAATTTAGAATATATTAACATTTGATTGATCGATTAGATCAAATTAAAAATTTAGATATTTATTTCATATATTTTATAAAATTTGGATATATATATATATATATATATGTGAGATTTTTTCTATAACTAACAAATTAAGATTGTACAAGAGTATTTTTTTATTTTCCACTACGATTATCTTCTTTTCCAAGTCGATCTCTTCTATTTCACCAAATGATTTCCCAAGTTTTTTCTCTCCTTTTTTTTTCTCGTAATTTTGTTTTTAGAAAATATCTGTATTTTATATTGGGATAATTCCATTTAAAACCCTGTACTTTTCTCTCGTCGCAATTTAAACCCTGTACTTTTTTTTGATCCAAAAAAACATTGTACTTTTAAAAATTGGCAATTAAAACTCTATACTTTTAAAAATTAGCAAATAAAACCCTGAACGAAAAACAATAATAAAGTACCGCAGTGATGGCACCATCGAGAGACATAAAGCCCGCTTAGTCGCCAAAGGATTCACCCAAACATATGGCGAAGACTACACGGACACATTCGCACCCGTAGCTAAGTTACCAACTGTCCGTGTTCTTTTATCTTTGGCTATTAACTCGAATAATACAATATGGCAAGAGGCGATGGCTGAAAAAATCGCAGCTCTAGAAAGAAACGGGACATGGGAAATCACTTACCCTCCGAAAGACAAACATGTGGTTGGCTCCAAGTGGGTATACAAAATAAAGTACCGCAGTGATGGCACCATCGAGAGACATAAAGCCCGCTTAGTCGCCAAAGGATTCACCCAAACATATGGCGAAGACTACACGGACACATTCGCACCCGTAGCTAAGTTACCAACTGTCCGTGTTCTTTTATCTTTGGCTATTAACTCGAATTGGTCTTTGTGGCAGATGGACGTAAAGAATGTCTTTCTTCAAGGAGATCTCGAGGAAGACATCTTCATGTCCCCTCCACCGGGTCTTAATCGTCCAATTCTTCCGGGCCAAGTCTGCAAGCTCAAGAAAGCTATATACGGGTTGAAACAATCGCCACGATCTTGGTATCACAAGCTATCTTCGGCGTTGATTGCTCGAGGCTTCAAGCGTTGCGACTCAGACCATTCCCTCTTTACCTTACAAAGCTCAACCGGCATTATCGTCCTATTAGTATACGTCGACGATATCATCCTCTCCGGTAGTGATACAGTCGGGATTCAAAATACAAAGCAATATCTCCAAAGTGTATTCGATATCAAAGATCTCGGTTGCCATAGTGGCGGACGCAGGAGATAGTTTGAACGAGTTCTTCACCTTGACGAGCTTTCCAGAGGTAACGAGACACTTTAGTTGAATAAGAAGAAGCTTCCTGAAACTCCCAGGCAATTACTTGTGATTCTCCTCAATGTACTTTGTGATTGCGTACTAACTCGATCCTGACCTCTCATTCAAAGCCAATATCGCGTACTTGATCATCTAACACAAAACAAATGGATTCAGAACAAGAATTTCAAAGTCGCGGAATGAAAACAGCAACGTATATTAAGTGTTCGATGAAATGCGTCTAAAAAACTCTAGAATATTTTCTGAAGAAATCGGTTTTCTAAAATCCGGTACTGATTACGTGGCAAAAAAAACTCACTTGGTGTATCATGTCACCTGCGTAGGACATACAATCATATTATTATAATCATTTTTTCCGAATGACTAATATGATATTTTTTAATAAGATTAGGATTTACTGAGACACTTTTTGCAAGTTCAGAAATTATTTGGCATTCTCGCAAATTCATGAATTTTTTTTTTCGTATTTCGCAAGTTCAGGAATTTTTAGGAGTTTTTCCCTAGATAATTATAGATCATATAAATGAACACAAAATATAGTAATTATAGAGAACAATCTGTTGTTAACCATAACCATAAAACAACAGTAATTTATTTTTTTGAATTCTTCTGCTATTAGTATTTTTGTTGTTTTTTCCGTTATTGTTATCTTTTCATCTGATAATTGATATTAATTAATATAAATAGAAAATTGGACAAATAAAATTTAAGGTGACGCCCCAAGTTTTTTTCTTTCTAAAATTATCTAGATCTTCTTCTATTGGCGATTTTTTTTTTTTGTTGTTGAAAAAATTGGATACACAACATAACGAAATCCTTCTCCTCGAGCTAGAAAGTTTCCCTCAGACTAACGCGGCAAGGAATGTAGAGAACATTTTCTTTAAGCTAAATTAGAATACTAATATCTAAACTTGTCAAATTTTACAAAATAAAACCTCAACTTTTAATTTTTATCTTTTAAAACCCGAATTTTAAAATTTATATTTAAATAAATCTAATTTTATAAACTATATCAAATTTAATTCTAAATATTGGATATAATTTTAAATTCGTCCACATGACATGATGGCATTTTATCGAAATCAAAATTACGACGTCATCTCGATTCTAATTGCCCTTTTTTTTATCTACTACAAAACCTAGAAACACGCTTGCATGGGATGTACGTGGAAATTCAAAATTCAAAGCCCCGAAAAAAAAATATTATAGTTCAAATTAATCCTCACTGACAGTGGTACCGAGCCCTCACCAACGTCTCTCCGACGCTCCGATCAAGAACGAAGAAGAAAGAAGACGCAGGGGAGTCTTAAAGAGGTCGGTCATCGAGCTTGCCTGCATCTCGGCCGGACGGTATCGGCGGGGGGGAGCCTCACCGAGGAAACCGAGTCCGAAAGAGAATGAAACCAGCCAAGAGAAGCAAACCTGACTAGAAACTCAGCGATCTACCTCGCCTGAGAACCAGCCACGAAACTCCGAGTATGCACCGCCGAAATCACCGCGTCTCCCTTCTGCTTTTTCTCTGCAAGTTCGCCGAGTGAAATCGACGAAACCCTAGGGTAATTAACCCTCGCCCTCGAAACGCGCCGTTTCGAATAAAACGAAACCCTCCAATTGTTGCGGAAGGTTCTCTTTTTCCGCAAAAGAAGCAACTTGGGCCCGTGGCCCATAAACCCCACACACGAATCACGATTATATATTTGCCATTTGGTGTGAACCTTTTTTTTTTTTTGTGGTATTAGGAGTTATAGTAAAACAAAAAACTTATTTTTATATCGATGTTAATATTCAACGGGGACTAATTAATAATCCAAGAGAGAAAGCAACCGCGTTCATGGACTTCCATGAATGCTTGATAAGTTGATATATATATATAGATGGATGATGCTTTTATTTTTTATTCAGGAACTATATATAAGAATCACAACACATTTATTTTAGTATCCGAATTTAGAGCGGAGCTTGACGCAGTGACACACTTCAGCGTCGAGGTCGCATTGGCCTCCGCCGGGACTCCCGCAGAAGTCGTCGCAGTCGGAGTCCACGACGCACGCCGGTCCCACGTCTTGGTTCGGCTTAGGTTGTCCGTTATTGGAGGGGGGCTCTGCGAATTTAGAGCGAAGTTTGACGCAGTGACATACTTCAGCGTCGAGGTCGCATTGGCCTCCGTCGGGACCCCCGCAAAAGTCGTCGCAGTCGGAGTCCACAACGCATGCCGGTCCCACGTCTTGGTTCGGTTTTGGTTGGTTTTTGCACTCTATCTTTATACCTGTCGTAAAATACATTCACATACACACATTCAAAGCTTTTCGATATATATATATGTATGTATGTATGCATATGATGAAGATGGAGATCATACCAGATGATATTACGAAGATGACTAAAAACAAAGCTGCGTAGTAATTGATCTTAGCCATGGATGGATAATTCTTCTTCTTCTCTTTTTCCTTGAAAATTTAGTGAACTGAAGATACATATATATATATATATATAGTCAAAAGAGAGAGATTAATTGGGTTTCTAACATAACATAACTCCTTTACTATGTTATTCATTGTATGGGGATACGGTTTTATGTCTGAGGTTCTCTTCACAATCTGATCTGATTTGATCATTTAATGTAAAATCTTACATTACAGTCATCTCCTAAGATCAGTCATGGCTGATCTTTTTTCTTCATATAAGATTTGATGTCTAGTGTGGGCAGCAAAGAGTCGCATACAATTTAATTTACATATTTGGACAAAAAATTCTTGGTGCATGGACTTCGAGTTCATTGATTTCCATATTTTAATAAAAATGTTACACGTGGTTTGTGATTTTAAAACAAAATCCCGAGGCTCCATCCATTTCAAAATATTTGTAGTTTTAGGTTAATTTTTATGTTTCAAAATATTTGTAGTTTTACATTTTCAAGATATTTTTTTTATAATAGTTTCCAATTTTATCCCTACCAAATTCCAATACATTATTAATAATTACTTTATTATCAAATAAGGGTATATATAACTTTTGATCAATTTTCTTAAAAAATGTGAAACAATCTAAAACAACAAATATTTTGAGATGGAGGGAGTAATTTTTATAAAAAGATCCATACCAAATTCGCATTTGTTTTTAATAAATCTCGCAAATACTATTGTAAATGTATTAGATATTTGTGGATACTCATGGATCTTTTTATCGATTTTTTAGGTGTTTGTATATATATATATATTAAATTTTTTTAAAATATTTTTTTTCAAAAATACGTTGTATATATTTGTTTACTACGTGACAATTGGCGTGACGATATGTGAACAAAATTGGAATCGACACGTCATTACTCGAAAGGTCATGTCATCATTTGGGTTAAATATGATATGGTTCTTGAGTATATTTGTGGGATGACATTCGGAGTTTATTTAGTGTGTGTATATATTATTATATGTATACATGCATTATTTGTTCTGTTTGTCGGATTAAATTTTTATTAATGGCTTTGGTTTGTTTGACCAAAAAAACGTAATGACAACATAAAAAAATCAGAATTTGGTTTTGTATTCATGAGTTTATTCAGATCGGTCGGGTTCGGTTTGGAACTCTCTCAAAAGTAAGTAACCGTCAAATACGGATCCCGTGACTTACTTAACCGGATCACCGGTTTGATCTATATTCGGTTCTCTATTTTTGTTCGGTTAATTATCGGTTTGGTTATCCCCGTTTCTGATAACCCAAGCTTCGTAACCAAACATCCCTTCATCCGCCAATTTTTTGTTTCCTTCTGTTAATATATTTCAGTTTTTTTAGGCGTATGTATTTTCCCGGTCATTTATTTCCTACACTTCCTCCATTTTTCTTCTTCTCATCTTCAATCCGAGCTTTCCTCTTCATTCCTCTCAGTGTGTGAATCGCCTACTCGGTAAGTTCATGAAGACTCTTCTTACTTTGTTTTTGTCGCGTTCCGCTTGCAGCTTCTCGGAGGTGCAATTCCCAGGAAGCAAAACCCTAGAGTCAAACTTCTCAATGCGTTCCTTCTTTTCATTGTTTGAGCTGCTTTGCAAAATTTAGGGTTTTGTTGCTCTGAAGCTTAATCTTTGTTTGCTTCGTTTCCTTGGAATCGCAAAACTTTCCTGTGATTTCGTCAGGTGGGATCTGCTGGTGAGCTCCGATATGTATATAAAGCAGGTGAGTTTCTTGGATTTTTGTTTAAATTCGGGATCTGAAGTCTCTGTATTTGGTAATTTGCATTGAAACTTCTTTGGGAGTTCTGTTTTTGGTTATACTTAGGTTATCATTGAAGGATTCAAAAGCTACAGAGAGCAAGTTGCTACAGAGACTTTCAGTCCTAAGGTTAACTGTGTGGGTAAGCTCTCCCTCTCTCTATGTGAGTCTCTACGATGGAATTTTTATGGAGTGACCTCGGCTGATTTATATACCTTCGGCTTTATTGTTTGTAGTTTTTTGTTAGAGACATATTTAGATATGGTGCTGTTTTAATTCAGGAGGCTTCATAGCGTGTTTAATTTTTTCTGCTTCGGGTCACCTGGTTAGATTTGGTTAAAAGCTGGGAAATGAACCTATCTGGAGAATGAACAACGAGCAAACATTTCCGAGGGAGCAGAGTGTAAATATTATCTGGCTGGTGGAGTAGGCATAAAATTCTATCCAGTGTCCTGTTATCTTGCCTAACTTTTATTCTGACTATGAAACTCGACAATTGCAGCATAGTTTCTTAGTTCCTGTCTATTAGGTTTATCGTAAATGCACCAGGGTGTGAGAATTCTACATGAATCATGTAACATGATATTATCTGCGGTTTTTATTTGTCAGTAAGAATAAGCCCTAATTTTCAGTTTCTGCAGAGATTTTGGCCTGATTATTTCACTTGAAGTATGGATTTAGGTTTTGCAGGCAGCATCTCATTTATTCTTCTGACAAGTATTTTTTTTACACAGTTGGTGCAAATGGATCTGGGAAAAGCAACTTCTTCCATGGTGAGAATGTGCATCTTGATTATCTCCTGTCCCTTAGTTTCTTTTTATATATATTTCTTATTTCTTCCTTTGGAAATTGAACGTCTTAGATTTTTTCCACCGCTTGATGAATTTGTGGTTCTGGGTGCAGCAATTCGTTTTGTGTTGAGTGACATCTTCCAAAATCTGCGGAGTGAAGACAGACATGCATTACTCCATGTATGCCCACATAAAATATTAGCTATAGCTTAAAAGCTGCTTTTTTTCTTTTCTGCTAGTCTTTTGTTTTTTATCCTGGATTTGTTTTACAATTGAATTTCCTGCCACCAGGAAGGCGCTGGGCATCAAGTATTGTCCGCATTTGTGGAGATTGTATTTGATAATTCCGACAACCGCATCCCGGTAACAATTCATTGCCTAGAATGTTTTCTGTGGGGAGCTGTGATGGCAGATGTCCTATTTGTTTTTTTTTTAATAAGTTGTGCATTTACTTATCCTGGTGTTGGTGGCTTATGCTACTTTAGGTTGACAAGGAGGAAGTTCGCTTGCGCAGAACGATTGGTCTGAAGAAGGATGAATATTTTTTGGATGGGAAACACATCACGTCTGTATTAATTTTTACGTTTGTCCACTTTCTCCCATTTTTTGGCCTAGTTGTTGGGGTAGATGAAAAAGAAGTGCAACCTAACTTGCAGGAAAAATGAGGTTATGAATTTACTGGAGAGTGCTGGATTTTCTCGTTCTAATCCTTACTATGTTGTGCAACAAGGAAAGGTAAGCTTTTGTTAAAGTAAGACGTATGTAGATGTCAACATTTACTCTCCAAACGCAAGAGAGAAACTGTGTAGGGTAACAAACCCTTGGCCAATTTGATCTACTTTTTGTTTGTGGTACATGTATAGATAGCTTCATTGACATTGATGAAAGATGCGGAACGGCTAGATCTACTAAAAGAGATTGGTGGTACTCGTGTTTATGAAGAGAGAAGACGTGAAAGTCTAAAAATTATGCAGGAAACTGGTAATTATCAATCTGCAGCTGTAGTAGAACTTCTTGCTTTAATACACACGCATATGTAGTTGTACTGTACCTTGTGAATCTTATGTAACAAAGTGACTTCAATACTCTCTGTCAGGGAACAAAAGAAAGCAGATAATCCAAGTTGTCCAATATTTGGATGAAAGGCTAAAGGAATTGGATGAAGAGAAAGAAGAACTCAGAAAATATCAGCAACTTGACAAGCAGAGAAAATCGTTGGAATTCACCATTTATGACAAAGAACTCCATGATGCTCGGGAGAAACTAGAACAAGTAAGCAAATCAAAGATGAGGAATCTGTTTTTTCTGTATTTCTTTTGTCTTTTTTACAGATTTTATGATGCAAGCAGTCAAAATCTTATCTTTGTCCTATTGCCAGTCTTTTAGCTGGTGATGTGTTTCAATGTTTCATTGAACTCTCCTAAACTATGAGTTGCTAATGTCCTTGTTCCAATATGTTGTCATTTGGTAAATAATATATATATTTTTATATCCGTTTAATGTTTATCTCATTCCTCATCAGTAGCTTCGCCTTTTTAACCGTTTGGCCTTTTCCCCCATGATTTAGGTTGAAGTTGCTCGGACCAAGGCATCTGAAGAGTCAACTAAGATGTATGATAGGGTTCTGAAGGCCCAAGAAGATGCCAAGAGCCTAGATGGGTCACTGAAAGAACTCACGAAGGAGCTCCAAACTTTGAATAAGGAGAAAGAAACTGTTGAAGCACGGCAAACTGAAGCTATGAAGAAGAAGACAAAGCTGGAACTGGATGTGAAAGATTCTCAGGAGCGGAAGTCCGGTAATGTCCAGGCTAAGGTATTATCTTGATATGCTGTCACAGGCAGATACTCATTCACATGGAGAGAAACAAAGAGAGAAAAACATACATTAGTATGAATATAGTGTTGCATAAACTGCAAGATCCTTGTCCATGTAAACACATTTCTAGAAGTAAATCTAATGTGCACCAATACGAACTTTTTGCCTCCAGAATGATGCAATCAAGCAGCTTCATATGGTAGAAAGAGAAATACAGGACTCTATGGAGGAACTGGAGAAGATTAATCCTTTGTATGAAAGCCAAGTTGAAAAAGAGAAACGGATAACAAAAGGGTATACCTTTTAGTTTATGTACTGATATTGCAGAAAAAATGAGGTGGTGTTATGTAGCTCATATCGAAAGGCTCTATTTTTCTTGTTTGGTAGAGTTGACTCATGGTATTAATTCCTAGATCATATATTGATTTCTGTACAGAATCATGGAGCGTGAAAAGCAACTTAGTATTCTTTATCAGAAACAGGGCCGTGCCACTCAATTTTCTAGTAAAGCTGCCCGAGACAAATGGCTACGGAAGGAAATAGAAGATCTGGACCATGTGCTAAGGTCAAATGTGGCCCAAGTAAGTTCGTGTATTATTTAATTTGGAATTTGCAACTTGCATTATCAGATATGGGAATATGACTCAAGATTGCAATTTTGTTAATAGAGGAATTGTAAACTTGCCATAATTTTATATTTCATGCGTATACTTTCACATAGAGATGCGAGTTTCATATGATTAATGGTTTTAATTTATCCATACATCATCTTATTTTGTCTGTAGGAGCAAAAAGTTCAGATTGAAATAGATCGTCTCAATAAGGAGCTGGCAGAGTGGGACGTATACATCAAAGGTCGTGAAACTGATATTAAAAATTCAGAATCCCAGATCTCTCAGTCTCGTGAAGCATTCAATATAAAGAAGACAGAGAGGGATGAGGAACAAGGAAAAAGAAAGTATGTCTCGTTGTGCCAATATCTGTCAGTTTGCAAGACGAATATTTGATTGTAACAGGGTGCTTGTTTACTCAGGGTAAAATGGGGAGAAGAAAGTCAGTTATCTGCTGAAATCGAGAAGCTGAAAACTGAAGTTGAAAGAGCAAAGAAGAACCTTGATCATGCAACTCCAGGCGTGAGTTATTGCTCTCTAATCCATTGGTTTGTTGCTGATGATACCAGAGTGAAAGTGTCAAATTATGAAAGATTAATTCATTTATTAGGTCCTTTCAAGCCCTTTCAGCATGCTTAGAAATTGATGAAATAATGTACTTCCATTTGTACCTATGTTTCTTCTCCGAGTGCTCAGAGTAGTTTGTTGACAAAAGAGAGGTAACCGCTCATTATTTCAGGATGTAAGGAGAGGGTTGAGCTCTATCCGACGGATCTGCCAAGACTATCGGATCAATGGTGTTTTTGGTCCTATTGTTGAGTTGCTTGATTGTGATGAAAAATTTTTCACTGCAGTAGAAGTCACTGCAGGAAACAGGTATGTGAGGAAGAGCCTGTTAATATTTCTCTCATCCTACTAGGTATCTGATCCCACCTAAGGGTGGGTATAGATTTGTGGCATCTGATCCCATCTTGATGTTTTTCTTTTTTTGGGGGTTCTTTGAGCAGCCTATTTCATGTGGTAGTTGAGAATGATGACATCTCTACACAAATAATTAGACACCTGAATTCGCTAAAGGGTGGACGAGTGACCTTTATACCGCTGAACAGGGTAAAGGCACCCCATGTGAATTATCCACAAAGTTCTGATGCAATACCTTTGCTGAAAAAGTTAAAGTTTGACTCCAAATTCACATCTGCGTTTGCTCAGGTTTTCCTTCAACCCTCTATTGACTCTTTTTAAGCTTTCTATGATTTCTGCCCTATTGTTCTCAATGTGGGCCATTTTGCTACTTGTATGCCTTCAGCGGTGGTACTATTTTGCTTGTTATATTTTTTTTTCAATCATGTCTTGCATGGCATTAATATAATTTAATGCATGTTTTCCTAGATTTTTGGTAGAACTGTAGTATGCCGAGATCTAAATGTGGCAACAAGGGTTGCCCGGAGTGATGGCCTGGATTGCATAACTTTGGAAGGTTAGAATCCATGTACATTCTTATTATTTTCCCATCTGGAACATCAATGCCTGAGAACTCTCATGTGCTGTGCTCTGTGTAGGCGACCAAGTGAGCAAAAAGGGCGGCATGACCGGCGGATTTTATGATCATAGGCGGTCAAAATTGAGATTCATGAATATTATAGTGCAGAATACAAATTCTATAAATGCCAAGGAGAAGGAACTGGAGCATGTTCGAACACAATTGCAAGATATCCTTTAATTAAGCGATTTCATGTTATTTTCATTCACTTGTTAACATTTTTCTGGTGTATCATTTTGTTCATTGCATGCAGTCTTGGATATGTATTTGTTTATCCATATTCTAATTGCTAACAGTTCTACGTTAAAAGCTTTCACTTAACTTGTCTCACTGATAGACCAGAATATTACAAAGCTAGTCACTGAGCAGCAAAGACTTGAAGCAGAATGGACGCACTGCAGATCTCAGGTGGAACAACTCAAGCAGGAGATTGCAAATGCAAATAAGCAGAAACATGCTATACATAAAGCTCTTGAGAATAAGGTGACAGTTGATCATCCACTGTCTTTCTGCCTTTCATTTTAAAAACCGCTAAGAAGCATTTGGTGTTAGTACTTTTGTTTTTCTTCATATCTGGTACTCAGTTTCTTCATATCTGTTTTGCAGGAGAAGTCTCTCGTGGATATTAGGACGCAAATTGATCAGCTAAGATCTAGTGTGTCAATGAAGCAAGCTGAGATGGGAACAGAACTCGTGGATCACCTAACACCTCAAGAAAAAGAGCTGTTATCACGACTAAACCCTGAAATTAAGGATCTTAAAGAGCAGCTTATTGCATGCAAGACAGACCGTCTAGAGGTTTGGCAATGTGAAAAGGACAGTACGTTTGAATCTTCATATTTTTGTTCTGGATAAAGTCTGATGTTTGTTCTTTCCATCACTAACAGACAGAAGCAAGAAAAGCAGAGTTGGAAACTAACTTAGCAACCAACCTAAAGAGGAGAAAACAGGAGTTGGAGGTAACCATAAATTCCATTGAGGATGACAATTTGTCCAGTTCAGACGAACTAAAGATCCAAGAACTTGAGGATGCAAGATCACTGGTTAAAGAGGCAACAGAGGAGCTCAAAAGTGAGCACCAAACACAGTGAACATTTGTGAAGAACAAGTTATTTCCGGGTTGCTCTTTGTAGTATATGTACAAGTACACTGATTACATTGTCATGCTCTAAGGTATCTGTGACAGCATTGACGAGAAGACGAAGCAAGTAAAAAAGATCAAAGATGAGAAAGCCAAATTGAAGGTAGTCCATTATAACCATCAAATCATATTTATTTTTCTGGCCTGGCCTGAGCAAAGTTTCTTGTTCTTTCAGTCATTGGAAGATGACTATGATCGTACACTTCAAGATGAGAATAAAAAGCTGGAAGAACTATTTAGCAGGCGGAACACACTCGTTGCTAAACAAGAAGAGTACACAAAGAAAATTAGGGGATTGGGTCCATTGTCATCAGATGCTTTTGACACGTACGTTGCTTGCTCGTTTGTGTATGGTGTTTGCCTAGGCTGTTTGAGTTGTCACCTTTCACTTAGTTTTGTCTTATTTGATATTTTAGCGCAACATTGCCCTTTGTGACTTTCGTCTAGGAATGCATTTTTATGTGTACCAAATTCCTTGTTTGATGAGTTTCTTATTTTTATGGACTATTGCAGCTACAAGCGAAAGAACATCAAGGAGCTGCAGAAGATGCTTCACCGCTGCAGTGAACAACTGCAACAATTCAGCCATGTGAACAAGAAAGCGCTTGACCAGTATGTAAACTTCACTGAACAACGAGAAGAACTTCAGAAAAGGCAGGCAGAGCTCGATGCAGGAGACGAGGTATTCAGTTGGATTTTAGGATATTTCGTACTATCTGGTCAAATAAAACCCACATAGGAATTAGACATTTACGGGTAATGTGAAATGCTTATGCAGAAAATCAAAGAACTTATATCGGTTCTGGATCAACGGAAAGACGAGTCTATTGAACGTACTTTCAAGGGTGTTGCTCGACACTTTCGAGAAGTTTTCTCTGAACTTGTGGAAAATGGACATGGCCATCTGGTCATGATGAAGAAAAAGGTATGTTTCTGATTTCTTTTTTTGTGTGTAGTTTTTTTCCATTCCTTTTCTTCCACGCGTTGTGTCTCCTGTATCAATGGTTAACTAGATTTCAGTGCACCATACGACAGCAACAGATGTTAGAAAAAGATTTCTAGAAATTTAGTACTGAACCATGTTGTGAAAGGTTTTCCCATGAACCAGACCCTTGAAAGTGCTAAAATTCATTTATCCTCTTGTATTTTCATTAAGGTCTTGTATTTCCCATTTTGTAGGTTAGTATTTACTTATATCTAAAAAATAAGAGAAAACTATCTCACACCAGTATCCATCTTTTCTGTGCAATTATTGAATAAGATGATCATGCTGGCCTCACTGCTTCTATTTAAAGTTGGTGAGTTGGTCTTAACCTTTTTCTCATTGACTGAATATATAATACACTTATATACACATCGTTAGGATCGTGATCACGATGATGAAGATGATGATGATGATGATGATGGAACCCGCGAAGCTGATCCGGAGGGAAGGGTCGAAAAATACGTTGGTGTAAAAGTGAAGGTACATATCGATCAGTAGAAGACAAATCATCATATCCCTTGTTAAATATTCATATTTATCATGTATTGCTCTGGTACGGTAGGTGTCATTTACGGGTCAAGGGGAGACGCAATCGATGAAACAATTGTCGGGAGGCCAAAAGACAGTTGTAGCACTTACCTTGATTTTCGCCATCCAGCGATGTGATCCTGCTCCGTTCTATCTTTTTGATGAGATCGATGCTGCACTGGATCCACAGTACAGAACTGCTGTAGGCAGTATCCTCTTGATTTTCGTTTTCGTTTTCTAACGTACACATATCACTTCGTTTTTCAATGCATATGATTTATCAGAGGTACAGTTCCTTGACTCAGCAATTTACAAGATATGATTCGTCGTCTAGCCGATATGGGAAACACGCAGTTCATAACCACAACGTTTAGGCCAGAGCTCGTGAAAGTTGCAGATAAGATATACGGCGTGACTCATAAGAACAGAGTGAGCCGTGTTGGTGTTGTTTCCAAGGAGGATGCATTGGACTTTATCGAGCATGACCAGTCCCATAACACTGATTGAGGTTTCGTTACACATTTCCTTTGATTTTCCTCTAGATTTCTATGCAGGATTTGCTAAATATCCACTCGTTTTGACAGGAAAAAGGAGGGGCTCCCACTGCATCAAGAATATATACATATATATATATAGTACGAGTTTGATGTTTTTGGGATAGTATCTTAGATAGAGCTAGTTTAATGCTGCGAACATCTGTCAGAACATATGATACAACTGCTGCTGTGAAGGTTTCGGTTTGATGTAAAGTCAGGTACTTGGTTGAATCAGTAGGTATCTTTCTGAGGTTTGGTTCTAGGAATATCCTTTGTCAAGGTCTGTATAAAAATCTGATTTACCTTTAGAATTGCGGTTTGTTCATCCTTTCATAACCTCTTATCATACAATTTCTGCAGTTTTTACCAATTTTCCTTTCGGGTTTGGTCTCATCATCTTGAGCAACGTCCGAGGCAGCTTTACCCACGAACCTGTTTTGACTCGACGGAGCCGAGAGGAATTGACGAGCCATATCGATGCTATGATTGATTGCCTCCGTAATGGAGTGCGTGAAGCGGATTCGATCCATACCTTCCCGATCCGATACGAGGAACCTTGTGATTTCTTAATTGGATCACTAGGATAATCGTCGGTGTTCATGACCAATGGGCATGGAGATACCTATAATTTGGAACCAAGAACATATACAGCACTTCGATTCTCTTTTTACTTTCATTTATTTTTTAAAATTATTATTCTTTTGGTGTTCTAGTAATGTCTACAAGACAACAAAACAGTGTATATACAATAAGTGTACCACTTATAGGGGCAAATGATGCATTATCGGTGAGAAAGTTTCTCCGGCGGCAATCAATTTCCGGCGATCTTGAATTCCAAGAACTTCTCCACACTCAGAAGCCCACAAAGCTCCTTCACCACCGGCATTGTCGCCGGAACCGGCAACTCGAAAGCCGGATCGAACCCATCTTTGTCAGTGTTGTCGGCTCTCCATGAAAAGAGCTGTTTCCGAGCTTCTCTAATGGCTGATCTCGCTGCACAGTGCACAGAAGCTGCTAGAAGCAATGGCGGTTCCCCGGAAGCTGCGATTCAGGTCAAGAACTCCGTTAAACAAAAAGAAGATTTTCGTAAATAACATCAACCCGCAACACATCTGTAGTAAGTGAGTTCATGGCCTAGTGGTTCAAGTTCTTATTCATCTCCTCCGGATCATGGATTCAAACTGTACAGCGTAAACTTTGTGTATGTGTTGCTGAATATTCTAAAGACTTCAAGCTGTAAATAATCTTCTAAAGACCAGTTTCGTTTAACAAAAAAGATTGCCATAGTATTTACCTTTAGAGGAAAGGATGCGGTCCTTGTGATGCCCACTGTTGAGAACTTCGACGTTGAACTGTCGGGGAATGGTGTCGAGAGTAGGGACTTTGTAGTTCCATGTGCCGTCTTGAACCACGAGCCCGTTCTCATCTGTCGTGTACTCTTCGAGCATGAAAAACCCGATCCCCTGAACAAACGCTCCTTCGATCTTCACATAAACCATAGCAAAAGAAAGTGAAAGGCTGTCAAGATTGTGTTCATAAATGCATGATTTTCCTGCGAGTAGCTTAAACATATCATATTCATCAAATGGTGCCGAAAAAATATGAACTTTGACCGATATCAAGATCTATACTTCAGATCTAACCTGTCCTAATATGACGAGAACATACGTAAGAGCTAACCTGTCCTAAATCAACAGCAGGGTTTAGGCTTTTTCCGCAGTCGTATATGATATCCGACCGGAGAATCTCCGTTGCACCGGTGAGAAGGCTTACTTCCACCTGAAAAATACCATCGCGGAGTGCTGATTATTTTCTGATTTCCACATTCGGAAAAGAATTTGCTCGTTCCGTAAATTCTGTTTTCATAAAGTTGTTTTAAGTTATTTCCCGGTTGACTTGCCTCGCTGATTGCAACGCCGTAGTTGAGGTATTGCATGGAAGAGAACTCCGGCCTATATAAGGTACTCGCGGATAAGTTCACAGATTGAGCATAGGCCTGCGAATTTACAGACCGAAAGATTCAAACTTCATGAAGATTCATGTAAAAAATCTTCCCGAAAATCAAGATGTGATATTGAATAAACTGGTTTACCTGTTGAATGAGCACTTCCCAGCTCACAGAACCCGTTTTCTCGAGAATCTGGTCCTTGATGGGTTTCAGCCTTTCAACCAAGATATCGCAGCAGAGTCTAACGGCCTCACAACTACTCTCGGAAGTCGTGCTTCCGGCAGTGAAACCTCCTTGAATCAAACTGAGCGTATCCGCCTGTATAACGCGTACTTTCTCGAGCAACTCTTCGTTTCCATTGAATCCAATCAAGCCAAGACCGTAAGCAGCCATCTGTTGAACCTTTGTCCACAGGCCTTGCCCTATCTCGACACCTCCGCACTCGACGACGATAGACCCGTCGCTCAGAATGCTAACTTTTCCCGGGGTTGGCCTCTGCATAACTTCATGAACGATGGGTACTCGAGAAATGCCCCTTTTGCACCAAACGTTACACCGATTAAACTCTTTCACTGTTTCCACCCTTTGCTCGAACCCCGAAGATATCTCCAACTTGTTCCATATCGAAGGCAAGGTGTACTCGTCAGCGTTACCAGCGGTATGGCTATAGAACAAGCCGAGGCTGTCGTATGTATGAAGATTAATCTTTCTGACGGAATCTGCATCCATTTGAAGGGAAGAAGCTACGTTTTCGATAATGGCTTCGGCAATGTACGCGCCTTGGACTTCCCCGGGAGCCCTCATAGCTGATCTGCTAGGTCGGTTCGTCTTGCAAACTTTTATGTCGAATGACAATGCACCCCAGTTGTATTTCTTGACGGGACCTGAGATATTGTGCGGCATTATCGGGCTCACGTCCACATCCATCCCGGCATCTACTAAAATCTCCAACTCTAATGCCGTGATCTTTCCATCCGATTTGAAACCGACGTTGTATGTTATTTTCATCGGATGCCGTCCCCCGACCGTTACCATATCAGTCTTGCGGTTTAGATACATCCTCACGGGACGTTGCAACTTGTGTGCAGCAAGTGCACATGCTGTCGCAACCTGAAACATCGTAACAAACAGAACCAATGTCAGAATATAACATACAAGTCGACAGTTAAGGACTCGATCCCGTTTGGTTGGCCCCAATGGTTCAATTTTGTCAGAAAGTAACTTACAGGCATAGATTTTATGGCTTTTCCACCGAACCCACCTCCGACTCTTCGGGTAATAACACGCACATTGTGCTCTCGGATGCCGAGACATGTAGCAATTACCGAATGCAAGTACTCGGGTGCTTGACTCGAACTATATACCTGCAAACAGTTGTCTTCGTCGGGCAAGGCAAGTGCTGTTTGTGTCTCCATATAGAAGTAGTACTGTGATCCTAGTCGGAACTGGATAACCACATTTCCGAAAAACGTGAGCCGAAGAACGTAAGCTTTAGCGCGTAAAGATCGAGAAAGCGAGTTTCCGTACCTTATCCGAGAGTATCTTGTGATCAGCTTCGGCCATCCCTTTCGAAACATCGCCAACGGGTTTGGGGTAAAGCACTGCAGGAACCAGGAACATGCTAGATCTTTGAACTGCATCCTCGACGGATAATACCGGCGGTTCTAAATCCTCTGTATCGTACTCAATTACTGCACAGTTTGCTGCCATATCAGCGTGTTTCGTTGCTGAATATTCTAA